TATATATATATATATATATATGTATGTGTGTGTGTGTGTGTGTGTGTGTGTGCACATTCACAAGTAAATTTGAATTTTTAGTACTGTAATTAGAGGTTGATTGAAAGTGGATTTTGCTAATACCAATATTTAAGGTGGGAAAACAGGCCAATAAACCAGTTAATAAGCTGATAGTTAATATGATTGTCAAAAATATGAATGAAAACTTCCACTTAATGTAAAATGGATGGTGCTAAACTTTATTACACATTTAACAAATAATGATTTATCCATGAAAATGTTTTGTAATTATTAAATAAAATAAAAATTTTAGATACACTAATGTGTGAAGGATCAGGGGTGATAAGACCAAGGCAGCATTTATTTGATCAAAAATACAGTAAATCAGTAATATTGTGAAATATCATTACTATTTAAAATACCTGTCTTTTTTATATATACATTTTTTTTTCCTGTGATGAAAAGCTCAGTTTTCAGCAGCCATTACTACACTGATGTCAATTTTGAAAACAGTTGTGCTGCTAAGTATTTTTGCAGAAACTGTTTGTTTATTTATTTATTATATTATATTATGAATTAAACATTTAGGATTCCTTGTGAATAAGTTCAAAAGAACAGCATTTATTTGAAATTATAATATTTTGTAATATTTTTATGGTCACCTTTGACCAATTTAATTTATCCTTGCTGAATACATTTATTAAAACTTTTTTTTTTTTTTACCATATTGACCCCAGGCATTTGAAAAGTAGTGTATACATTTAAACTGAACCAAAAAGTAACACTTAAAATAACAATCTCATAATAAAATAACATAAAAGAAAGAAGTGATATACAAAATTAATCCCAGAACACTCCAAATAACAACCATCAGCAGCAAGCAACTATCAGTGCCAAAATGATCTGTTAAGCTGATATATCGGTTGACTCTAATAACATTTCTTTTTGTCTTTTGCTGTTTTTCAGGTCTTCGTAAATGAAAGTGTGTTGTGAAGAAGAGCCGCTCTGCCCATTCCTCCTCTCTGCTCCTCACCTCCTGCCTCTCCTCTGTTTAAAACGCTTCCTAATCGCCCTAAATCAGCCCTTTCTGGAGTACTGGAGAATTGGCTCTCTGACTCCCAGCTCTGGACAAAACACAGCTGCTCCATCAGACGCTCTGGCACATTGTTCCAGCTGCCTCATTTAGACGCTCTTACAAGTGGATGTAAAACATATCCAAACAAAAAGGCCCAGTATTTTGTTGGTGTGGTGTGTGGTCCATGCGTGCGAGTTATTCAAGGGGAGTTCAGATGTTGAGGTTCACCGATTTCCAGCTCTGTTTGTGTGTGTGTGGAGGAGGGCCACTGTGTGCTGTTTACCTTCACACTGGAGGATTTGCACAGTAAAACTGAGCAGGGAGCCGAGATGAGGAAAACGGGTGCGGCCCCAAAAAAAAAAAAAGACAAAGCAAGTTGACCTCCTGTGGCAGTCAAAAATAGAAACAAAGGAAGTGTAAAATATAAATACAAGAAACAATTAGAGCTTTTCTGAGTTGTTTTGTGTCAGTTTGATGTACAATTCTCATAATTCACTGTAAAATTCAGTTTTAGTCTTTTTTTTTTGTTTTAAGACTTGATTTATATGCAGTGAACCCCAAATCACTGTATTTAGACACTCAGATCACACTAAACAATGTATAATAGTCATTAAATTAGATCAAATATACATCTGGCTGATTTGTTTTCAGATGCTTATTAACTGATTTGCACCTAATGCAATGAAATTAGTGCATTTTCAGTGTTTTGGGGTTACTGTGCATGCTGTCAGTATTTTTTATGTTAATAATCATCATTTATTGCACAATGTGTTTGTATCAGCCTTTAGATCGAACATAAACTAGTTTGGGCTTCCTCTGGTAGTCAGTCAGTACTGGCAGTACAATTATTACATAACCTCAATTGATATTATAACAGGACTGGCTGATGTTATGAAACAGAAAATGGTTCTTTCATCTGAATGGTGCTTGTAATCAAATATTAGTTTGTGAATAAATCGTCAGCATGTCGTTCTATGAATATGAGTAGCGGTTGAGTGGCTGTCAATGTCTTTCACTGTAGATGCAGAGCTACTGTAGCTTGTTTACTGGAAACATAAACCTCAAAGCACAAATGACTGACTTGACATGTATCATAGTATGTATGACATGTTTTGAAGAGCGGGACTGTGTATTTCTTTCCAAATTGAGATGTGAAGGCCAAAGGTCAGTATGTATTTTCTAACTTTCATAGTCACATAGTTGCCTGTTATCCCAGATGTTTCATATCATGAGACTTATGTACTGTATTGGCAGCATTTTGGGTGCTTGTGGCCTGATGGTAAAGGAACTGGACATATTGTAGTCTTAAAGGAATAGTTTGTCCTTGCTATTGCTTATAAGTCTTTATTTTCCCCTTGAAATGCAAAAAGGAGAACTTTTGAAAAATGCTCATGTTGCTCTTTTTCCAATCAAACAAAGCACCATAAAAGTGGTCGCTCTTAAAAATAAAGGTTCTTTATTGCATCTGTGGTTCCATGAAGAGACTTTAACATCAATGGAACCGTTCTATTACACACAAAAGGTTCTTCATATTGTTCTTTACTAAGAAATATAAAAATAGTTCTTTAAAAAACTGTTCACTGCAAGGTTATTTGGGTAACCAAACATGGTTCTTCTATCAATGGCAACCCCCTTTTGACACCTGTATTTTTAAGAGTGCATGTGACTACTGTATGTTCAAAGTCATCTGAAGTCATGCAATAGCTTTGTGCTTTTGTTATTTGGAAAAAAGCAGCTTGAACATTCTACAGAACATCTTCTTTTGTGTTCCTCAGAAGTAAGCAAATCAACAGTTTTGTATCAACATAAGGGCGAGTAAATGATGAAAATGCTCATTTTTAGATGAACTGCTCCTTTAAATGTTGAAGTTAGGGGAAGTCGTAACAATTAGCAATTAGCTAAATGGCAAAATCTAACGTTTTCAGCTTAATAACATTAGCTTACAGTTATCTTGTTCAATGTTCTGGTAGATCCTCATATTGGTCATGAATCTATCCTGCCCCCTAGTGATCAATGTCTTTCTGTACAAGACAACTTTACTCTATGGACCAGGAAAATTGCATTTTGTACCACTCTCTGAAAACACTCATGTACATTTGTAATGGTAGAGTTTAGGATATTCAACATACTCCGGCAATGGTAGTCTGCTGCAGAAGTGTTATAAGGAGAAAAAGAATGATATAGATTTATATCACACCTCTCCCCTCGTCTGTATGTCTCTGTCTCTTTTTACAGGTGTTTTTTTGTAAGCACTTTTTGTATCTCTTTTCTGTGTTTGGTCTCTTCTCCATAGTTCTTCATTGACTGCCTGTCCATCAACACATGTTTGCTGACCAGAGTGTAAATAGATGTTTGTTAATAAAAGTATGCTTTTCATCTGCTGACTACACGTCTTGTTTGTGTTTGGATTGGTGCTTCTGTCTCTTTCTTTGGCCCACAAACATGAGTAAACAGACACACATCCTACAAGCCCCCTCTGCAAATAGAAGAGGTCAAAATCACTGTCCTGTGCCTATTTTGGTGTTCCCAATCAAAAATGGCCGGCCTTTTAAAGATTTCTCATTATGCTTATATTATCACTAAATCTTGGAGTCAGTGTTTTTTTGTATTGATCTGAGCTTATGCACCTCAGCTCATTGATCTGAGCTTATGCACCTCAGGTTTTGGATGAAAATTTTTTTTTGTTGTAATTTTGTCAATATTGTTGGGGGGGGGGTTGTTATACCTTCTGCGAGTAAAGTCTGTAGGTGTTAGTCCAATGCGAAAACATTATCATTTTCAAAAAAGAAAATCCTCTACGGGTCAAAACAACTGTTACTGAGGGTTAAAGCAGCACTATGTAACTTTTTCTGTGTTCAAAATTTGCTAAATGTATATAATGAGCGAGTACATCATGAATTCATCTTCCAAACCGCGTTTTTGTCTTATTCCGAATCACTCCGGTACACTTATAATAAGTACTTATATTTGGACTATTGTAGCCTGGTCGGGTCGTCACCGCTGCGGAGGAACACATACCTGCATGAATCGCCATAGACATAAATTTAGAGAAGTAGCTCCGGTTGGAATGTTCTTTCGCGGGATGTGTGCAGTTCTGTTTATTAACCGCTAGAGCGCCAAAAGTTACATAGTGCTGCTTTAATATGTAACAGAAGCAGAGCTTTGACAAAGATGTGCAATGCAAATTATTTTATTAATGAAAATAGAAGTGCAATGTTAATACAGTAATAATGAAATATTATTCTACAATATGGTCTCTTATAAACTGCCATCTGAAAATTCATTTAAAGGGGTCATATGATGCTTTTTTAAAGATCATTATTTGGTGTATTTGGTGTAACAGAATATGTTGACATGCTTTAATGTTCAAAAAACACATTATTTTTCAAATACTGTACATTATTGTAGGTCCTCTATTTTGAGACTTTAGTCTTTGCAACTTCAGGGATCTTATCTATGCACAATCAGCTTGTAACACTCCAAAGAGAAAGGAAAACTTGAAATCGCATCATATGACCCCTTTAATATATTTTTTTAAGATTTAAAATGTACAAAAAGCTGTTGACTTTGGCATGACACAAAATCAACTTTGGTTTTGTCCAGAACTTGCAAGCATGCAAAACATTTTAAAGTACTGTAGGGTCCAAAAGTCCACATAAGAAAAATGTTTTTTATGATTTTTTTTTTACATCATTAATATACTGCTCTATGTACAGATATGCTTTTTGTACAGATGATCAGATGTTCTTGCAGCTAAAGTGCTGCTGTCATTAAATTATGGGGAAAACCCAAATTACTATGACATTCTGAAATTAATGTTAATATTTCAAGCAACAAAGCATCTCACTAAAACTGATATATAAATAATGCTATTTAAACTTATATTACTATTACATAATATATATATATATTTTTTTTATTTTTTTATTTTATTTATTTATTTATTTTTCCTCAAATGTATTAAATTAGACTTTAGATGTGAAGTGGACTTTTGGACCCCTGTAGCTTTAATGTATAGCCAAATATCAAGCAATATGTCTTTGTGTCAGAGCACTGATGCTGATTTGGAAGCTATTTATAACATTTGAGTATTTTTTCACTATATATCCCGAGTGCAGTACAATTCTTGCTAATGACACTGTTGTGCAACAGTATGTCGCTGTGTATGAACGTGTGTTTGCGCTTCATGACATGAATGCTCGCACACTCCCCCGGATGACTGCCCTGCATATGGGGCAGTGGCGCAGACTGGCTGCGCAGTCGGTGCAGACGACCAGGTGGCCACAGGGGATGAAGACCATGGAGACGAGTTTGTCCATGCAGATCTTACAGGTCCTCTCTTCCTGAAGCTGTCGCAGCTGTTCCTCTGGACTCAGGTCTGATCGCACTGAAAAACACACACAAATGCACAAGTTAGGACATTTCAAATCAGTCTGGGTCAGTTGAGATGATTGATAGTATGATCTGTTTCATCCCAGAGGCTACTAGATGGAGAGAAGATTAAGATATACCCAAACACACACACACACACACACACACACATTATAAGTGCAACGAGAGCGTGTTAATATGAACCTTTCTCCCTGTCTGAGACATGCGTTCTTGGTGTTCTCTGCCTCCCCACAGTCTCTGAGGGAACAAACCATCCACATGTTAGAGGAATGAATGGCACACATTATCAGAAAATTAAAAGACAAGTTCACAAATTTAAAGTATGTCATTATTTATTTACTAATCCATAAGTGATTTCAGATCTTAGGGGGTGCTCACACAAAACACATCTACAAGCGCGAGACCCAAGAGGATGGGAAAAGTATGCAGGTTGTCAAATGTATTTAAAACTTATTTTAATTTGATGTCATTGATGGCAAATTAAAAACATGTCGTTCATGCAAGAAAAAGCAGTGAGGTGCATAGCAACAAATTGGTCAAATACATTAATCTAGTTCTTGTTTATATGGAATAGCAAAAAAAAAAATTAGTGCAGTGGAATGCAAAAAATGTTGATGCAAATCTTGGGCTGTTTTTATTCTGTGGAACACAAAAAAATAGAATGTTGTGTTCCATGGAATAAAGCTCTATAAAATGAAAAACTGCCAAGGTCAGGATTTTTTATTTCTCCTTTTGTGGTCCAAAAAAATGAAGGGCATGCGACATCAACAACACCCTGAGTGAGTAAATAATAACTGAATTTTAATTTTAGGGTGAAATATCCCTTCAAATAGCCTATCTCCTTTATCTAGCCAGGGTAGCACCATATATTTAATTTTTGACTGAATGAAAATGAAGCTGTGAGGGATAGAAGTACAGTGCGTTCAATGGATTGTACTGTTGTTTTTAACAACATACAGATTGTTCAGCAGATGAAACATCTTTCTGGAAAAAAAAAACTTTCTGTACAGTAAAACTACAGTAAGTTGTGAGTTGTGAAAACTTTATACAGAACATGACAGTGTAAAGACTGTAAGTCTATCCCTTGTTTTCCTCCGCGTTAAATTCAATGGTCAATAGCATGCTTTAAATGATGTCAACTTTAGGTTACGTAATTGAGGTTTGTTGTATACTGATAGAGGGTTTGGAAACACCTGGTCTGGGCTCCCCCGTCTGCCTTTCCTCCTCCTCGGCCTGCAGGACGTCGCTCACCAGGTCAGAGACTGAGGTGTAGTGTGAGCCAGTGAGCAGGTAGTGTGACTGCACCAGACTCTCCACTAGCGAGTGCTGGAAACCCATCTGCAGCACCGCCTGCACCACAGGGGACAACATGGCTGCCGCCACTGAGTTCTGCCCACCCAGCACCTCTGCCAGCGGGACAGCACACAGGAACATGAGTGCATGCGTAAGAGGGACTGTGCACTTCACTTGTGAGGGCCACATTTGCAAAAACATTCTTAGTGAGAAAGTTATCACTAGTAAAAATTTTCATAAATGGGCCTAATGGGTTTTAATTAAAATCTAAAAATGCTTTAAAGGAATAGTTCACACAAAAATCAATATTTGCTTAAAATGTACTCACCCTCAGGCTATCCAAGATGTATATGAGTTGGGAACAGAACAGATTTGGAGAAATGTAGCATTACATCACTTGCTCACCAATAGATCCTATGCAGTAAATGGGTGCCGTCAGAATGAGAGTCCAAACAGCTTTTTCACTGCAGAAAACCATATTATAGACAGAAGACTTAAATTTTTGCTGGAACGGTTTGAAGTTTCGGTAGACATTAATTAATGGACTCATGTGGACTACTTGTGGAACAATGTGATGTTTTTATCAGCTGTTTGGACTCTCATTCTGACGGCACCCATTCACTGCAGAAGATCCATTGGTGAACAAGTGATGTAACGCTACATTTCTCAATATCTGTTCCCATGAAGAAACAAACTCATCTATACCTTGGATGGCCTGAGAGTGGGTACATTTTCAGCAAATGTTCATTTTTGGCCGAACTTTTCCTTTAAATGTGTAGTAATTTGCTTAATTTAGAAACTACAAAGTCTTTTCTAGGTCCTCACAAGTAGAAGTATAAAAAGAGCTTGTGTGTATGATATGTTACGCAAAGCAAGATATTGCTGCGGCTAATTTATTCAGTGATTTATGCAAAGAATCAGTTCAGGTGTGTTTGTTTACCAGCAGCACACATTAATTTAAAACGGCAAAACTGCATCACAAAAGACTTCAAGTTAGAGTTACACAGATCATCATCATTGTTAGTTTGTTAGGAAAGAGAAGAAGAGAAGGTCCTTCGCCTGGGTGAAAAATAAGTTGTGAGCACTGGAATAATAATAATAACAACTCCTGAGGAACTTAACATGCATGGCAGCACAAAATGCAACCTGATATTTCCTGCTTATTACACAGCTTCTTGCCCCAGAAATAAATACAGTAAATACTGATTTGAGTTTATTTGATTGTTTTAGAGACAGAATACACATACAGCTATGTAGGAATCACTGAATTCCATGTCATGGACAATGGTTATTATATTCAGAAATATTTGAGTGCTGAATGCTGTGAGTGACCAATCAGAATCAAGTATTCTAGAGAGCCGTGTAATAAGCACACAGAAGAGTCTGTTTATCCATATAACACAAGCACTACCTACAAACATGCAACATTTTACAGGACATAAGAATTGCAGGAAATATGTAAAGACAGGGGTTTTCAAATAGGGGTCTGTAGACGCCCCCAGGGGCCACAGGGGGGTGCTAATGGGTCCTTGGAAAATTTGACATAATATTACTAAATGTATTCTAACAGAAGTAAGAAACATATCTGGATATAGTTTGGTGAAACTTACCAATTTTCTTTATTACCAGTTACATGGCTCTACTTTTAAGCAATAAGCTGCACAAATACATTTGAAATTAATTGAAAATAATATATAGTATAATTTGCTCTATACATCAACATATAAAATAAAACGGTCTTTCTTTATATTTTGGTGAGGAGCCCCTTGCAGGGGATCATCATTTTTGGAGTCCATAGTTTCATTTAAACATTTGAAAACCCCTGAACTGTTACACCTTTAAAAAAGTTCTTTTGGATTGACTTGCCTGATGTAATGTTTCCTGCAGTTGATGATGGAGATCCACCCTTTAAAACAAAGAAAAACATTTCAAATCTATGGCAATCTTGCAAATATAGCTGTTAAATGAACCGTGAACTGATGATTAGGTGCATCATTATTACTTACCATGCTCTCATTCATGTTGAAGTAAGACTGCTGGACATTGCTCACATATTCCCGTCCTCTGGATTGAAGCAAATATTCACATCTTTGGAAGCACATAGACAATATTATTAATGAGTACACATGCACTAAAAACACCAAAACAACATCAATTTGGTATGAAACTATTTAGATTTTAATGCACAAAATGTCTCTTTAGTATTCACTAATTACTTTGTATTATTGTGGAATGAAACCTTCCTTCGTGCTGAAATTCTTTTTTAAGCATCTCTATGTTGTTTTGTGTATTTTTGCGACTTCATATCCCCCTACTGCCTGACATTTCAGTCTAAAAAAAAGCAGAAACAGAAACTCACTGAGGAAACCATTTGGCGTGTTCCTGCCAGGGGTCATCTCCCGGTTCCCAGTTCCTCAGACCACCATCACAGAAGAAACACTTCACATTGTCGTCATGACCTAAGAATCGTACAATCATTACCATCTTCTAAAAAACACATTACATTTAACAGATACAGTGCAGAATATATATCTAAACTTGCAAAAAAGGCTTTTTTCCCTCTAGAATTGCGAGTTTCTAAGTTCTAAGCATGGGTGTCGCTAGGCCAATTTTAGAGGGGCTTTATAGCATACTTTGTAAAGCGATCATGTTGCTATTTTCATTTGAAAATGTAACTTTAAATATAAAACATATTACAGTGCATGTGGCAAAGAGGTTAGAGCATACTTGGGCTAAAGAAAGAGGTTTGTACTAGAAATGCAAACAGTAAAATTTTGGGTTTGTACAGTAAACAGGTGTGTGTGTGTGTGTGTGTGTGTGTGAGAGAGAGAGAGACAGAGATCAGGAAGACTTTGGCTTATTCAGTACTAGAATGTTAACCCATCCATGCAATACAGTGGAATACTGCAATATGTTAGGCTATACCATCCTACCCTATTAGTCAAACATTTATTTATTATTATTATTTTATTATTATACCCTCATTGGGGGCTGAGCCTCCCTAAAATGAAAATTCTACAATCGCCCCTGGTTCTAAGTCATTTCTAATCAACTTTTATAAAGTTCCAACACAACAGTAAACAGCCTCATTTAAATAGGTCCGTTTTAAATTCATTTACATTTTCAAAGAATGTTTTCTATAGGCCTAAATGAACGTTATTGTTTTATGTTTTATTTTGACACTTTATAAGTTAACATATGTGTATTGTTCTTTAATGAGAGCAATTGATATGCCATTTTTGAATGCATATCATCATAATAATGAGCGGCAGGCGCTGCTCGCGCGCTCTCTCGTTCATTCCGTTCATTCACAGTGCGCGTGACTGCCGGCGCGTGATTGTGGTTGCACAAAACAGAAGCAAGAAAGTTTCTCTTCCGCGCCGAGTGGGAACCACACAAAATCCCATAAAACATAATTTCGTGTGGAATTTCATTTCAATGACTTTGTTTTGCTCTCAAAACAACTTTTATCCTTGCTTTAGTCTGGGACGCACCTGTGTAGAAGAAGCCCGCCCGCGCCAGCGCGTCTGGCTGCACCGATGCTCCCGGGGGCCAGTTCTGGTAAGTGGACAGTCTGCTGTCCTCCGACTCCATCTCTGGGCACACCGCCTGTCCAGGCAACACCTGCTCATCCACGGTCAGCCGCTGCAGCTGACTCAAGAGCTGCCCGTCCACAGAGTCAGACGAGCCCAGCGGAACATTGCCCACATCCCTGCCCATCATCAAGCCGCATGCGGGGAAGTGCCTCTCATGCTCCCCCCGCGGAGTGTCTCCGTGAACCCAGTGCCTCAGGATCCCATCGCAGCAGAAGCACTGCACCGTGTCACTGTAGCCCAGATAGTGAAAGCCCGCCCGGGCCAGCTCCGCAGGACTCACGGGCGCGTCTGTGGGCCAGTTTTGGAAAGTCTGGAGTCTCTCGTCCTCACTCCGCATCCCGATCCGCGTGCTGCTCTCGCGCTCATGTCCACGATCTCCCCTCATCCTGCTCTCCTTCCATAGTGGACTGTCCAAGTGTGCTTCAGCCCCCCCTCCGCTGGCCATATAGCCTATTATTGCCAGTAACAGAGCACCGTTTACTAAAGCGCGCACATTTCCAGAATAAGCAGTTGTTAAAATGATCTGCGCTGTGGCCAAGCCCTGAATAGCATTTATACAATAGACGCCTTTCATGTTGATTTTCTCTAACTTTCACATGAACATACCTATCGCCTGTACATATATATTTATATTTTATAGTTATAATTCAAATATTTGTCACATAATTATGTATTTTTGTAATTAAAAAATCATGTAAATAAATAATAATAAAAGCAATCGACATTTCAGGCTATTTTCAAAGTGAACCTTTCACTCATCCAAAGTAATCAGTCAAGCACTGTTAACTACACTGTAAAAAATAAAATAAAAACACAAAACGAAATAAAAAATAAAATCACATCTTGCTGACAATGTTTTGGGATAAAGTAAAAAGCTCATATTATTTCAGGAAGCATTATCTATATTATTATTGTTATTATTATTATTATTATTATTATTATTATTGTTGTTGTTGTTGTTATAGAAATGTCATAGATTTCTAAAATTATTTTTGATTAAGTCTATCAGTCAAGCACTGTTAACTACTTTAAATTCATAATTTTAAACGTTACAAAATTTAGTTTATTTAAAAACAAATTTATAAAAAATTATAATTATTTTTATCGTCGTCGTCAATAGTAAAGGGCTTTTAGACTACATTTCCCATAATCCCCCACCGGAAGTTCGTCATGTTGACGCCAAACATAATGGCGGCTCAGTGAAACGCACAGGCTTCGTAAGCGACTTGATTTTGATCTTTTAAGGTAAGTAAAGGCATCTAATTTCTACTGTTTTAATCACAGTACAGTTGAGCATGTTCCTAATACCTTGATTTTACTCGTTATAGTCATTTTCTGATTTCTAAAGCTTTTGTTTATTGGAGAGAGCAGGCCATTGCTGTTCAGTGTGAGAGTTAAACGATATTATTAAAACTCCAGCGCAAACTCTGTAACTAATATAACATTAGATGTGCACTAATATCTCGCGGGGGAATATTATTGCACATGTAACGTTCTAGTTACATTGTTTAGCCGTGTTGTAATGATTGCATTTTGACTAAAATGTGACTAATTCTTTTTCCTGAACCAAACGAAATGCTTTTCCTTTCCAATAAGTCTATATAATAATCTGTTAAATATTGATAAATAAATGTTGCACAGTTTTAGGAAACAAAAATACTTTTAAAATGTAAGTGCGTATGATGCAAGCCAATTAATCTTACGCTTACGCAGCCTTGGCGTAAACATCAACAAACCTTGTCAACAATCAAACCTTCTCTCTCCCTCTCTCCAGATGGCGGGCGACTCCTCTGATAAGAAGGACCTGGACGCCGCAGGGAAGGAGCGGGAGTCTCGTAAGCGCAGTCGTTCTCGCTCCAGGGATCGTGACCGGAAAGGATCTCCGGGCAGAGAACGCAAACGGCACCGATCCCGTGAACGCAAGCGCTCCCGCAGCAGATCCAAATCTCCTGACCGGTGTGTAGGGTTATATACCGTTCTTCTCATATCAGTGCTATAATGTATTTGTACTCTAATGCTTAAAATCTTCTTCCGTGTATGTAGAGATCGTCGTCTAAAAGACAAAGAAAGAGACAGAGAAAGGAGCCGCAAAGACAGAGAAAGAGACCGGGACAGACGAGACAAAGACCGGTCCAAGAAATCAAGGTTTGAATCATTCTTGCCTCAAAAAATCTTTTTAGGACCAAACAGTACGGATGACAAGATGACCTGGAGCCAGTGCTTTATGTGACTATATGTGACTTATGTTTATTGATCCTGTCAACAAAATTTTTGATAATATTTTGTGATGTATTGAATTTTTTTTTTTTTTATGTAATATTATGACATTGATACTATAACAAAATCTCTAACACACAAAATATGATGCTGAAAAATGTAAAAAATTATTAAAGTGGAGCTGGTGAAAAATAGTAGCATTAAATACAAATCTGCACGATGTGAGAACAGGAGAAAACAAATCTTATTGTTGAGACAAGAGTTTTGTTTATGCTTAATTGCCAGGCATTGTGTATACATAATGAGATATTTTAAAAATGTAAATAAAAACTATAATATAAAATATGACTATATTAAAGTCGGCATGAAATGGAAGTTGCAATCAATTTTTCTTCCCTATTGTGACGGATATATCCAAGTGATTCTCAAATAAGGAAAAATGGGCACATGAATTAAAGAAAAATTGATGATGTGCAGAAATTTGTTATGAACACTGCAATATTCCATTAAAAGAAGTATTATCAATGTTGATTTCGTGATGACTTTAATACTCGGTTATAAAGTGTTGTTTTTTCCTCCCAGGAGCACTTCTCCTAAATCCAAGGATTTGAAAATAAAGAGGGAGAAGGATGTGAAAAAAGAGGAAGAGGAGGAAAATGAGAAGAAGAAAGAGAAGGTGCTCTATTAGAAGTCATTTCAAGTTTGAATGTTGCGTACTGTGCACTTTTTTTTTTACACTGTTTCTGCACTGTTCCAGGTGCAGCCTCTTTCTCTTGAAGAGCTGCTTGCTAAGAAGAAAGCAGAAGAAGAGGCAGAATCTAAGGTGAAGATTTTTTTTTATATATTTATGCAAATGCATTCCACTGTTGTTGTTTTTTCTAAACATTTGTTCCTGCTCCAGCCCAAGTTCTTGTCTAAAGCAGAGCGGGAAGCTGAGGCCATCAAACGGAGGGAGCAGCAGACAGAGGATCGCCGCAAACAAGTGGACGAGGAGAGGAAGAAACGTAGAATATTTCAGGACATCGGCAGGAAGATGCTAGGTGAGATGCAGGACAACGGCAGCATCTGTAGAAACATGATTATACTTTTAAAATTGGGCTTTTTTGTCATTTAGTTTGTGTCTGCAATGTTCAGTTCTTCTCTTTTCTTATCATCTTACCTAATCCAACTTGCAGAGGATCCTCAGGAGAGAGAACGGCGGGAAAGAAGGGAGCGGATGGAAAGAGAGAACAATGGGAATGATGAAGATGATGGGCGTCAGAAAATTAGAGAAGAAAAAGACAAAGGAAAAGAGCTGCAGGCCATAAAGGTGAAGAGTCCTTCATTGTCTTCACTTACTCAGTTGGAGAAAAGACTAACCACTTTAGATCAATATCTTGGCTGAGAGTAATCGTTACAAAAAATAAATTAGTATTAAACATTTCATTCATTGCCAAACATAGTGGGTATTTGAAAAAACATGAACATTTTTAGAGTACACAGAATTTTAACAGTCACAATTTCATGAACATATACAGAATCACATTGATTAGCAGTTAGCAGAATGTGTCAAGCAGAAAAGTTAACCTGTTAACCTACAGTGGAGCACCAGTGATCCATATATATGTAGATGACTTTAATACTCGGTTATAAAGTGTTGTTTTTTCCTCCCAGGAGCACTTCTCCTAAATCCAAGGATTTGAAAATAAAGAGGGAGAAGGATGTGAAAAAAGAGGAAGAGGAGGAAAATGAGAAGAAGAAAGAGAAGGTGCTCTATTAGAAGTCATTTCAAGTTTGAATGTTGCGTACTGTGCACTTTTTTTTTTACACTGTTTCTGCACTGTTCCAGGTGCAGCCTCTTTCTCTTGAAGAGCTGCTTGCTAAGAAGAAAGCAGAAGAAGAGGCAGAATCTAAGGTGAAGATTTTTTTTTATATATTTATGCAAATGCATTCCACTGTTGTTGTTTTTTCTAAACATTTGTTCCTGCTCCAGCCCAAGTTCTTGTCTAAAGCAGAGCGGGAAGCTGAGGCCATCAAACGGAGGGAGCAGCAGACAGAGGATCGCCGCAAACAAGTGGACGAGGAGAGGAAGAAACGTAGAATATTTCAGGACATCGGCAGGAAGATGCTAGGTGAGATGCAGGACAACGGCAGCATCTGTAGAAACATGATTATACTTTTAAAATTGGGCTTTTTTGTCATTTAGTTTGTGTCTGCAATGTTCAGTTCTTCTCTTTTCTTATCATCTTACCTAATCCAACTTGCAGAGGATCCTCAGGAGAGAGAACGGCGGGAAAGAAGGGAGCGGATGGAAAGAGAGAACAATGGGAATGATGAAGATGATGGGCGTCAGAAAATTAGAGAAGAAAAAGACAAAGGAAAAGAGCTGCAGGCCATAAAGGTGAAGAGTCCTTCATTGTCTTCACTTACTCAGTTGGAGAAAAGACTAACCACTTTAGATCAATATCTTGGCTGAGAGTAATCGTTACAAAAAATAAATTAGTATTAAACATTTCATTCATTGCCAAACATAGTGGGTATTTGAAAAAACATGAACATTTTTAGAGTACACAGAATTTTAACAGTCACAATTTCATGAACATATACAGAATCACATTGATTAGCAGTTAGCAGAATGTGTCAAGCAGAAAAGTTAACCTGTTAACCTACAGTGGAGCACCAGTGATCCATATATATGTACATATATATATATACATTAGGGCTGTCAGTTGATTAAAATCTTTAATTAATTACATGATGTTTCGATTAATTAATCGCAAAATAAATTTGACTGTGAAAATACCCACAAAAGATTATTTAAAGCTGCAGTCTGTAAGTTTTGCCTCTTTGTCGCCATCTCTGTTTGAAAACCTGCAATTGCAGCTGGGTGCGGAATTATCTAGCTTGCGTGGGTTGTGCTCTGGCTTGGCTCCAGCGTGGATTAATCTAATGTTCTGAAGAGTATGTGTGGCAGTCAGTCACCGCACCGGTGTGGATATTTACTGTACTTCAGAATAGGGCTGTGCGATTAATCGAAATCAAATCAAAATCGCGATTTGAGACGTTACGATTTCCTAATCGCAAAGCCTGCGATGTGGACGCGATATTACTCTGTTCCAGAGCATATGCATGACTGCCAGCCTTGAGTTGCAATCTTACTTGCCCTGGGCAAGAGTGAGCGCACCTAATCCCAGGCTATCTGTAATCAGAAGCACATTTATAACTGGAATATAATTTAATTTCATTCACATGTGTTTCATAAACACATAATCCTTTATGGATTACAATCCGCCATCAAAATGATAAGTTTAATTATTCCAGCTGCTGTGAGAAAAGGCTATAAACGATCGGCCACCTGCAGGATCCTCACATGCGATAGCCTAGTAGCTGGGACAACTTCTTTGTTTACAGAAGTGACGTAATGACGCAGTGGCATGCTCGAATTTCCCGCGAAAAACTACCCGTACTACTCACATTAGAAAACATTATTATAAGCTAACCGTTGTGAATCGGGCTAAAGTAAGGCGATAGTTTTGAACACTGGCTGGTTATGTACTTGCTCAAATATTGTTTTCGGATAATTTTTAACTAAAAAAAGTTACGGACTGCAGCTTTAAAGCAATTTTTGTGTTAAAGGAGAAAGTATCAAGTAGACATTACAAATTGTAGCGTAAGAAAGCAATATTTTATTTGATTCAACAAAATTTATTACACATTTAGGCTACAACAGCCTAATGTAAACTATGGAACATAAAAGATGATGATTTGAGAAACATCTCAGTATTTTTTGTTCACACAATGAAAGTCATTGGTAACCAAGAGAGGTTTGAAACGACATGACGGTGAGTAAATGGCAGAATAATTTTTGGGGGGGGTGAACTATCCCTATAATGTTTTTATTATTAGTATATATATTAGTGCAGTCAATCGATTAAAACAATTAACTAATTAATCGCACATTGTTTTTTAAATTAATCGCGATTAATCCCACCTAACAAAGTTTTTAAATATACTTTTATATTGCAATAATTTCACATTTAATCTTCAAATTAATGTATAAACATCATAAAGACAGTATATTTTTTAATATTTGTTTAATGGCATCTTTTTTTTATGACTGAAGGCCAGTATCAATGATACCAATACTGATTTCTCTATAAAATTCTCTATAAAAGAAGCTTCCGTCACTGACGTAGATTTACAGGAAATTATGGTTGTTTTTAAATAAAGAATTTTACATGCTTATTCCCAACCATTTTTTAAGCTTTACAAATCACATCACATCTCAAATGACAAGGGATCAACTTATAATCATGTTTATAATTAGCCTGCATCATTCATAAATTTTATTTATTTATTGTGTTTGTTGTCTTAACGTTTCAGTTAATTCTGCTTTTTATTCATCTTAGCTGCAGATATAGCCTGGCACGTCTTAATTCTATGAGCGCGAGATATCACTTCTCTTTCAGTGCGAAAACTTCTTTATCATTTTCATAAAATAAAGCTCTATAGTATTTAACTTTTCCTCTCCATCGGCGAATGATGATTCTGAAAGAAAACGCGC